CGTTTGCGATACCGGCGTTTCAGATACCGATCCCTTCTATGCGCGGAATCCTGGTTGCCATTCATGGCCTCACAATTGCATTTATATCCGTCACCGTCCAGTCCCTCAAGTAATGGTCGCTTCAGATTCAAGTGCCGGCGAATGCCCTTCAACTCCAAGAGTTTGTTTTGAAGCTTTTTGATCATTGAATCCAATCTATTCTTCTTCTGACGCCATAACTGTTTGTTTTGATAGACATCGTCTGAACAGGAAATCGACTGATTGGCAGACATGACACACGAGGAGTTGCCGTAGTTGGCGCCCGATATGTCGTCAATGAGAGAGACGTTGAATATTTTGTTGGTACCGGTGCTGGCGTCCAATAGTTTGCTCAACTCTAGGACCCCTTCGACATCAAACGCCTCATTCATTAGTAAATCTAATTGACGTTTACTTCGGGAACCAATAAAAACTGGTCGAAAGTCTTTGTTGAAGACGTGTTCCTTAAGGAACCTTCGCTGAAGTTTCTTCTCATTTGAATCCAGTTTTCGTTTCTTTGGTTTAATGAGAAAATCTTCTGAATTCAAACCCAAAGAGTCCGAGTATTTGTGATCAAAAGTGTCAGTTGATTGGTCTGAAGGACAGACACATTTTTGATGTAGTTTTCTGTCAAACGTTTGACTCGAATACGATTTTCTGCATTTTCTGATCCGTGTCTCAAAGCCATCGAAATAGCACTCAAACTTTTGGTAAGGACTACACGGAGACTGATATTCGGGTTTTTCACACTCAATAGTCAGCCATTCCTTTTTGGTTAGTGTCCGCAGAGGACTGTCCGCTTCTTTCGTATATTTTCTAAATATTAAACATTAAAACATACATTTAAAATACAATTCAATCGCAAACGCATTCAGTGAATACCCTCTTTCAATTAGAAAAGTATGCCTCCACTCAGTGGTTGGCTTTTTGACCTCAACATCAGATTTGTTTGACTCAATTGTCCTCTTAAGTAGTGGTAATACAGAACTTCCGTCCATATGATCGGGAACTTTAACGCCGGCTATGTCTAGAAATGTTGGAGCCAGGTCTATGTTTAGGACAATATTGTCAATTCTGTAATTACATAATTTGAAACATTAATTTAAATGATATCTGAGATATACTATATAAGTAAAAGTAACTCACTTTTGGCCGCCAGTTAGTTTGGGTCCCCTCACAAAGAAGGGAACCCTCACATCAAATTCAAAAGGCATGGCTTTCCCTTTGACTAATCCAAACTAAATTAAAATACAATTCTGTTTAAAATCGGTTTCATTTAATTCTTGTTTCCAATAAGTGAAGTCATACCTGTCCTAAATGGTAGCCGTGGTCTGATGTATAAAATATGTATGTGTTGTCTAAAATAGATTACGAATTGATTAGTTTATTTAGATAGTAATTTGTATGCATTAATACAAACCAAGTTCTCCCAATTCTTTCAGTTCATTGTATAACTAAATAAGCAAATTAAGTAAATAATTAGTTAATTATTAAATGAAATATCATTTGTAAAACCTTTTCTACAGATTCATCCACTGATTGCAATGTTTGTAATCTCTTTGTGTGTAACATATCAGTGAATTCTTCGTGAATCGGTTCCATTTTGCCGGTACTCCTAAGAATCCATTGTTTGTCGGGATTGGGAGCAAAGTTCCAACTCTTGGTACTAATAAGACAATAAAAATGACTTAATTAGTCAACAATTCTTATAAATGATATCAATTGGTCTACCGATGAGTCGTGACGTTAAGAAACATATTGTGGAACTGCGGGGCGGCGTCTTCGGGGCCGTGAGGGCCGGGATATGACAACACCATTAGTAACGGTTTGTTCGCAAAGAAACGTTTGGAGTATCGCAGGAACTGTAGACTATCGTTGGTTATGAGGTCGGGATAGTAGTCCAGGTGATAGTCAAAGCCATGTTTGACTTTATTTCCATTAACATTGAGAGTGTAGTTATAAAACCGGGAATTCCGTACTAAAGCCGACCATTCCTTCCAACCGTCCGGAATGTATGTCCCGTTGTATTCATTGAGATATTTGCCAAAAAATGCTGTCAAATATCACATCAAATGTAAGACTTATTGAATATGAAATGAGTTGTTTTGTGTGCGCTATTGGCTCAAAGACCTACCCGTCCGATAGCCGGCATTATTGAGGTAAGAGGCAAAAGTTCTGGTCTCATAAGTTGTCTGCCAGTGCTTTGAACTGCAATTGTCGTTATTTGTCTGTCAGTCAGTCAAATGCAAACATACATTAAGTCAATATTAAGATTACGA